TGTGTACACACACATACACACATATATCAAACTAGTATATTAGCTAGTATATTAATTATTTATCACTATAGATTCTGAATCACGTGGAAGTAATACTAAAAATGAAGAACAGAAAAAAACACCTGTTAAAAGTAAAGCAAACATTAAAAGCAGAAAATTACTTGATACAGTAAATGTAGAAGAGAATAATAAAAAAGATGAAACAAAAGATAGAAAATATTCTAACAGTAGTTCAGATGAAATTATTGAGCATGTAGATCACAAATACAGTAGTAAACCTAAACATACAAAAAAGTCTTCAAAAATTACACCCAGTATTTCTAAAATGGAAGTACAATATAAAGAAGAGAAGAAAGTATCTCCAAAAAAAACAGAAGCATCAGATATATATGAAGAAAGAATTGGTAAGAGAAAACAGAATGCTGCAATGTATCAGCAGTACCTTCAAAGAGGAGGAGCCAGAAATCCAGGTTCAAAAACAGTTCCTCTTGTATGTAATGAAACCTACAGTATTACATATAAAACAATTAAGTTTTTCTTCATTTAAAGTATTATGTACATTATAAAAAAGATATTCAAATTCTAGGGTGCCGACCATTGCCTTGCAGGATTAAGTTTTTTGATAACTGGTGTTTTGGATTCTTTGGAAAGAGAAGAAGCTGAAGAACTTATTAAAAAATATGGTGGGAGAATTTTGCATCAAGTTTCAAAAAAGACTGACTATGTTATAGTAGGTGACCAGGCTGGTCCTTCAAAATTATCAAAAGTAATACTATTAACATAGTGAAACCTTATTTACATTTGTTATACAGCGTGTACTATTTAAATTGACTGATGCGATGTTTTTCAAAACTATTAATGATGCTAATAGAAATTTCAGACAAAGTTTGAATGGTTTTGAAAAAAACATAATTTATTCTTAGTTATTCTTTTGCATATGGACTAATTAAACAAAATGTTCGGCAAGGTTGATAGATTATTCAGAGATCAAGTAATTTTCTGCATTCAGACTAAAAGATATACTTTTGAACATTGAATTCGAATATTATAAGGAGGTAAATATTGTATTACTTACGCTTTGCAATGTTAAAATTAAAATAACCTTTTCACAGGAAATGATAAGTTACATTGATCAACACTCGGACGGCGGGCGACTTACGCATGCAGCTACGTCTGACAATGAGTCCGTTTGGACCCAAATAAATTTTTGTTTTGTTTAGAGTGATTGATTTATATTACTATATATTATTTCCATGTATCTTTTGAGGCACGCTCACTTTGTTATCGCTATAACATAAACAAAGGATACACGGCATCAAGTCTCGAAAAAGCGAGCGTTTTACGTCTAGACTAGAGTCCGAACTGACCCAAGTGTAGCCGTTCGAGTGTTAATACATTACAAAATATATAGTTTCGTTTAAAAAAAAAAAAGTTTACTTTCATACGTCCTTTGTGGATCCACTTATAAAAGAACAACTAACATCAAATTGTGCTTTTTTCGAAACTACTTAATTTTTGTATGGAATTTTTTTCGGTGTTATCAATAGTTTTGAAGATATTCCCGGTAATTGATTTGAATAGAACACCCTGTATATATTAGAAGCAATTTTATCAATTACCTAACATATGTATTTAGTATTACTCAATTACTCAATTTATTATTTATATATATTTAGGCTGACAGTTTGAATGTAACAAAAATATCAGAAGATGATTTACTAGAGATGATTCGTACACGGCCTGCAGGTCAGGTGGGTGATATGAAGCAATCTCGTGCAAGATCTAAAAATAGAATAAAGCAAACATCTACAGAATCAGAAGATGGATCACCTTCGCCTCCAAAACAAATGAAAGTTATTGTAGATGGAAAGACAGAAAAAGAAACAAATATAAGTTCGCCACACAAAAAAGAACATAGTTACAAAGAGACACAAAAATTAATACAAGAATTACCTAAGAAAAAGGAAGATAGTACACATGAAAAATAAAAATTATTACATAAAAAACATCATATTGAAAACAAAGAATTATCCATACAAGATAAAAAAGAAAAAAATAATCTACAAGATGTAAAAATAAAAACAGATACTTTACAAGACGTAAGTATTTAAATTCAATATAATTAATATTAATTTTGTAAGTCTTATTTTATCTAAATTCTTTTTTAGATAAATGCAAATATAACAACACAGGCATTGGTTGAAAAATACAGGCCTAGAACTATGAAACAGATTTTAGGACAACAAGGAGACAAAAGTAATGCTAAGAAATTGTATTCTTGGTTAATGAATTGGCATAAAAATCAAAGTGGTCAAGTAAAACATGTTAAACCTAGTAAGTTTTTTTATTTTTCGTGTGTACTTCTTGCATATGTTTAATGTAATTACAATTTTTTACTAAAACCTTCTATATTAGGTCCTTGGGCAAAGAATGATGATGGAGCTTTCTTTAAAGCTGCTTTATTATCTGGTCCTCCGGGAATTGGGAAAACTACAACTGCCCAAGTTGCTTGTAATGAATTAGGTTTTGATCTCATAGAATTTAATGCATCAGATACTAGAAATAAAAAAAAGCTGCAAGAGGAAGTATCAGAACTTTTATCTAATACCACATTAAAGAATTACTTCATAGGTA